TTATCTTTGCAACAAAAAAATTAAGATACCTAGGAATAAACTTAAGTAATGAGGTAAAAGAGCTGTTCTTGGAAAACTACAGGACATCGAAAAAAGAAATAGATGAAGACATAAACAAATATAAGAACATACCACGTTAATGGATTGGTAGAATCAACATCATTAAAATGTCCATACTTTTATCAACAAGCAGACTGTCACATTACAGCGGGGAGGGGAGGAAGATCTGGGGGAGATAATAGATCAACCGAAGGACTTTTATACATGCACATAAGTACAACCAATGGACATAAAACTCTGGGGAGGGAGGGGATATGTGGGAGGGAGGGGGGCAAAAAAATCAATAAAATATATTTTAAAAAATAAAATAAAATAAAATAAAATAAAAATAATAAAATGTCCATACTTCCCAAAACAATCTATAGATTCAATGCAATCCCCATTAAAATACTAAGGGCATATTTCAAAGAGCTAGAACAAACTCTCCAAAAATTCATCTGGAATAAAAAAAAAAAGACCCCAAATACCCACAGCAATCCCGAGAAAGAAGAATAAAGTTGGCAGGATTACAATACCAGATATCAAGCTATATTACAAAGCCATGGTTCTCTAAACTACCTGGTACTGGCACGAGAACAGATATATAGACCAATGGAATTGAACATAGAACCCAGAAATCGACCCAAGCCATTATGCTCAATTAATATTTGACAAAAAAAGACAAGAGCATACAATGGAGTCAAGACATTCTTTTCAATAAGTGGTACTAGGAAATTCAGTCAGATACTTGCAAAAAAATGAAACTAGATTATCAATTAACACCATACACAAAACACACTCAAAATGGCTAAAGGACTTAAACGTAATATGGGAAATCATAATAATCCTACAAGACTCCATAGGCAGCAAAATAGCAGACATATGTAGTAGCAATATCTTTACCGACAGAGCTCCTAGGGCAATGGAGACTCAGGAGAAAATAAACAAATGGGACTACATCTAAATAAAAAAGCTTCTGCACAGCAAAAGAAACTATTAACACAACAACAAGAAAGCCTACTGTATGGGAGAACATATTTGCCAATGCTATTTCAGATAAGGGTTTAATCTCTAAATTAACAGAGAACTCATATAACTTAACCAAACGAAGAAAAACGATCCAATAAAAAAATGGGCAAATGATCCAAATAGACACTTTTTGAAAGAGGTTGTACAGAAGGCTGAGAGACATATGAAAACATGCTCAAAAATCACTAATCATCTGAGAGATTCAAGTCAAAATAACGAGATACCATATCAACCTGTCAAAATGAATGTTATCAACAAATGACAAGTGCTGGTGAGAATGTGGAGAATAAGGAACCCACGTGCACTGTTGTTGGGAATGCAGACTGGTGCAGCCACTGTGGAGATCAGTATGGAGTTTCCTCCAAAAGTTAACGATGGAACTCCCATTTGACCTAGTAATCCCACTTCTAGGAATATATCCCAATAAACCAGAAACACCAATCAGAGATGTTATATGGACCCCTATGTTCATAGCAGCACAATTTATAATAGCTAAGATTTGGAAACAACCTATATGCCAATCAGCAGATGAATGGATTAAAAAACTGTGGTACATCTACACAATAAAATACTATGCTGTGGTAAAAAGAAAAAAAAAGGAGTTCTTATCATTTGCAACAGCATGGATGGAACTGGAGAGCATTAGGCTAAGCGAAATAAGCTAGTCAGAGAAAGATAAATATCACATGATCTTACTTTTATGTGGGATATAATGATCAACATAATATGATGAACAAAACAGATCCAGGGACAAATGGCAGAGGAGGTGGGGAGGGGCGTTTAGAGCAACCAAAGGGCTTGTATGCATGCATATTAGCATGGCCAATGGACACAGACACTGGGGCAGCGGGGACTTGCCTGGGGTGGGAATGGCTGGGTAGTGGGGGGTCAGTCAGGGAAAAAGGAGACATATGTAACACTTTAGACAAATAATCATCATAATAAAGAGCTAATATGCCAATGGTCTGGACGCGTTAACGTGTAACAACCTATCACTGGAGGCTGCCTGTGCCTGCGCAGGGGGCGTTGCTCCGGAGAGGGGGTGGAGGTGGGGAGGTGCCCGGAGGAGGCGGGACCATCCCACGCCGGGGAGGGCGGGGTTGAGATCCCTTAGCACCGCCCTCACCAGCCCTTCTCACCCTCCACTCGCACTCAGAGCGCCCGCAGCCCACCTGCGGGGGAAGGCGCAGCAGGCAGGCGGCGTCCACACTCTCCTCTGGTGCCAGGACGGGGCGGAGCCGCCGTGTGGCTCTGGACATGGGGCAGAAGTGGGAGGTGTCGGAGAAGGTGGGACCAGCCCAAGGCAACCAGAGGGAGTGAGGCGGGGCTTGAAGTGGCCAGAGAAGGCCGGAGGGGTCGGGGCTGGGCCAGGCCCGCTGGAGCGCTGCGTGGAGAGGTTCAGGTGTCCAGGCAGGGCGGCCAGTGTGTGGGCAGGACCACACAATTTCATGCGCTGGGCTCCTAGTACATGCATCAAAGATGTATGTAAGTTATTTGTAAATGCATAGAGAAGAGAAAAACACACCAAATTTTTGGGTTATGGTTACCTTTGGGGAAGGGATTAGAATAGAAGAAAAAATAAAAATAAAATCTAATCTTTAAATTTTGTATATTTCTATATTATTTGAATCTTCAAATATGAGAATGTATTCACATGTTCCATTTGTATTTTTAAAAAATCCAAAGAAGGGCTGATCATGAGGACGAGAAAAGTAAAAACTTTAACATCAAATTTTTTCTTTTGCATCAGTGACTGTTTTTCTGATTAAAATTCATTTCTACAGAGGGAGAGGAGAGTGAGCACATTTTGCACATATTTTATAAATATACTAGAGGCCAGTGCACGGAAGTGGGGGTATCCCTCAGCCCGGCCTGTGCCCTCTCACAGTCCGGGACTCCTCGCTCCTTACTGCCTGCCTGCTTGCTGCTCCTTAGTGCTGCTGCGAAGGCTCCTGCCACTGCCACTGCACTTGCCAGCCTTGAGCAGGCTTCTGGCTGAGTGGCGCTTCCTGACCACCAGGGGGCAGCTCCTATGTTGAGTGTCTGCCCCTGGTGGTCAGTTCATAGCGACCAGTCATTCCACCATTCTGTCGATTTGCATAGTAGCGTTTTATTATATAGAATTGTACCAAATGTACAAGGCTATATTGTAAATTTCTATGTCTGGAACCTGAATAGCTGCTTGCAGTAGCCAGACTGGTTATATGCAGTTAGGATAATTGAGAGCAATTGTAGATGCTTTCTTTATGTTGTCTGAATCTGAAGTCCCCCTTCTGTTTGTGTTTATAATATTCCTGCTTGGGCTGAATTTTGAGGTCATACTCCACTTAACTAAAAGTATAACCTTTAGAGGTTGAAGACACCTTAGAAGTTGGAGCAGTCTCTTCCTTTAATAATTGATGAAACAAAGGTCAGAGTTAAAGGGACTTGTTCAAAGCCATACAGTATATATGCTACATAAGTACATAGACACACAGATTTGTATCTATTTCTACATCTGTGTATATATTTCAGCTTTATTGAAGTATAAATATTAAATTCTACATCTATCTTGAGCTGTCACTGACTGATGCCAAGCACCTTGCATAGTACTTTACATTCTTATTGAATCTTCACCACAATTGATATGGTAGGAATTATTATTCCCATTTTATAGATGAGGTGTGAAGGGCAGATCCATGAACTAGATGTTGGCTAGACAGAAACTGCTTCCCCTAAGCCCTCTGGCAGTGACTGTAATAGACACTTTCCTTCTGACATAAACAGTATCTCTGCCTTAAGCCCCAAGGTGTGCAGGTTCTGGCGTGACCCTTGTCTTTGACCTGGGCACACATGTAAGGCATTTTCCTTTACTTGGGATGGGTCCAGGACCAGTGCCCCATCCCTCCTGCCTTGTTCTGTTAGTTCTTTGGTGCCTGTCAAGCAGTGTGGAGGATACCCACTTCATCTGCCCAATATGTAAGTTTCCTTTAATAAACTCATTAATTGCCTCTTTCTTCAGCCCCTCCCTGCCCATCATTCAAGAAGGTAGATTTCTAGTCTTGGGGTTTTCCCCTAGGTCTGTGTATACTAACACGAAGGAATGGAAGTTCAAGTTTACCCACTTAGCTAAATGGCAGAGCTGAGGTTTGAAACTACATCAAATGTAACCTGAAGTCCATGTTCTTAGCCATTGAACTGCATTGCCAGTTTCTGAGAGTGCCTCTGGGCCATGCCCTGGGTGGGATAGAGGAATCAGTATAACAGAGACTCTGTAATTCAGGATCTCCCGTCCCATAGGAAGGACAGCCATGAGGGAAATTAAAGGGGCATGGTTCAGCAAGCACAGAGACAGAGGTGAGTACAGCCCGGAGAAGAATATGACAGCCTCACTCAGCAGAGGGCTAGGCAGTATGGAAGTATCTCCAAGGAAAAAGGGCTGATGCTTGGTCTTGAACATTGTTAGAATCCAGGTCTCCTGACTTAGCTCAGGGCTTTCTACTAGAGCACAGAGAGAAGCAAATGCAATCCTAAAACCAAACCCCAAACCAGCACTATGCACTCACAGAGGAAACAGTTGGTAAATGTTGCCTGGATCCAAGTCTGAACTAGAAGCAATTTCTGAAGATGAAGAAATAATTAATAAGACTCTCCCAACTCCATTTGAAACTTTCACTCATTTTTTCATTGAATTTCAAAATTCTTAGTGGACAGTAGATTACACACAAGTATAACCCTCCTATATAATAAAAAGCTAATATGCAAATTGCCCTTTAACCAGGAGTTCAACCAGGGGGTGGGGCTGGCCTACCAACTGCCCAAAGCCCCTCCCTCTCAACTGGGGCAGGCTACCCATGCACGAATTCATGCACTGGGCCTCTAGTTTATCAATAATAACACTAACAAAAGTTATTTTACTCTTACTATTTAACTATTTTAAAAAATGTACTTACCTGTACTTTAGTTCCGACACTGATTCTTGCCTGCTGCCCCATTGCTAGAAAAGTGATTGAAATCTTGTCTTGTTCTAAGATGCGAATTCCAACATAATGGTTCAAAGCCAGAAAGACAGGTTTAAAAGAAACAATGGGCGAGGAAGTGACAGTGCTTGACCAATTCCAAGCTCTTATTCTATTGCCAGCTTCATCTGAATATTGACCTCCAAGGATATTGATGTAAACCCTGGGCAGAAAGGAAATTAATAATCACAAACAGAAACAATATAATTCAATTCTGAAATTTGACCTGACATTTGCAAACTAAGGGAAGTAGTAGTTTATGCTAGCAAATAGGATACAAATGGTGGAAAAATCCCAGGTGATCCTAGGAGTGATAAGACGGTGACTGAATGCTATACTAATATGAAGTACTGGGTTTAATTCAAGACCTACTAATATACCAAAAATGGGTCTAATGATGGAACCAGGATGGTAAAGGGATGTGGAAATCATGTGCTGGAGGAAAGATGAAGTGGAAGGTTTAATCTGGACAAGAAGAAATACAGGAGAGCAGGGTATACCTGAAAGCTAGAAGACCAGTGCTTAGATTTTCCCCAAGGCAAAATGAAGATTGGGGGTGCAAATTTTGAGGAAGGCTAAATTGACCTCAGTACAAGAGAGTTGTTTTCTAACAGCACCTGGCACCTGGGAGCCAAGAGTCTGAGGAGGCCTCTCACCAGGGTGGGGTGGGCAGGAGAGCTCAGGGGGCATCGCCGAGGCACTGTGGTGGAGAGGAGCTCTGTGACAGAGCAGCCGGGCTCCCCAGTGTCTTAGCACCATCATGAATGCACATTTTATTACATAGTCTGAGAGCTAGAGGCACTAATGACGTCTGTTCTACTCAATTACTTCCTTATGCTCTCTTACCTCCTTCCAAATTGGATCTCACCCCTTTCTTGAGGAGACAGAATATGTAGAGTTCTGAGTGTTTAGAAAATTGACTTAATTTGATAATGAATTATTTCTTTAAAAACTAGAGAAATTGGCCATAAAAACCCCCTAAGTAAAATCTCTAACATCTTATTTCCCCAATATTGATTAGTGGCAGTAATAGCAAAAGTACAAATGAGAAATTGAGATAATTATCTTATTGTATCTGGGAAGTAGGATACAAAATTATCCATATAAATTATTTATTTAATAAACATTCTTGAATTTAGTCCATGTACAGATACATACTCTGTAATGGAAAAGATTCAGGCTGTGCCTTCAAGCATCTTCAGTCCAGCAGGGGAGATGGGCTTGTTTCACAAGAAGCAGTGAGAAGGGGTTAGGAGTGAATCAAGGAATCATGTCAGAGGGCCCAGGAGTTGAGCTAGTGGGTCAGAGGGCTTCACTGGCAAGGGGAAAAGTGCTAGAAACTAATGAATACCTGGTGACAATTAATATAGTGCCCCACCAAACATAATATAGAGTGGCTATTGAACTCTGAAGGATAAGTAGAAGCTCTCCAATATACTTGGGGACAATATATTGACTACTGTCTTGGATTAAAAACACACATAGTCTTCTGTGTCCTAACTCTCTCAAGTTCTGACAGTGTCCAAGCTTTGTCAATTATTGGCAAAATTTCTCAAGATGAGACCATTATCCCTTTAAATCATTTAAAGGGAGAGAATATTTCTTTCTGAAAACCTCAAAAGTTTAAATTATATTTGAAGTTAGAACCTGAATTTTACTTGTTCAGGCTAAATGAAATAAGATAAAGTCAGAGTACAGAGTACATGAATTAGTAGATCAAGATCTTAATTTCTCCAGAGATTTTGTTTGTATGCTATTGTTGTTAGTTGTGGCTATAGGATGCTTACTAGTTAGAAACATATGGTATCCCAAAAAATGTATACACATACTTTGAATAATTATAATGGCAGTGTTTATTTAATTTTCAAAATCAATCTATCAGCTGTTAAAGTCTATATATCTCAAACAATAACAGTGCATTGTAGCACTTATTCATCATATATTATTCCCATAGATGAAGCAATATAATATTATTAGGGCAAAGGCTCTAGAGAGACTGTCTGAGTTCATATTCCATACCCCTAATGTAATTTACATAGAAATTTTTATAACATTGAAATTGTATACTTAATATTTTATTTTCATTTATAAAAAGGATATGGTGAAAAAAATAAAATAAAAATAATATCGAAAAAAAGAAAGAAGCAACAAAAAGAATATGATGAGCTTTGTTTTACAAAGTTGCCTAGGCTTTTTCCAGAGAAGCATTTGAAAAGGCATAAATCAAATAGTTCTATGAGTTAAACATAACTATCCAAAGACCATTAATTTAAATAAAATTTCTTAAAGCAATTTTTACCATTTTAAAGAAAAAAATAACATCTATTTATTAGATGAATAAGCTCTGGGATCGAATGTATAGCATAGTAATTATACTTAATAATACTGTGTTACATATGTGAAAGTTGGTAACAAAGTATGTCTTGCGTGTTCTCAATACACACAAAAGAGGTAATTAAGTGGCATGATGCATGTGTTAACTAATGCTATGTTGGTGATCAATTTGAAATCAAATTGTTAAGTATATCAAACCAATGATGTTGTACACCTTTAACTTACACAATGTTGTATGTCAATTATATCTCAATAAAGTTGGAAAAATAAAAGGAAAAATAAAATTTCACAAGCCCAGGAAGCACAATGGTAGCAGGAGGAAACTAGAAGCCTACCAGACATTTCCATTGGGATGATAGCAGGAACTTTGGCCAGAAGAGTCCAGCACTGCCAGGATCGCAGGGTTAGTGGGTATGTCTTCTTGGACTATACAAGTGAAACCACGGATCTTATTGGGCACTCGGATGATGGCTAGGTTGCCAGATGGGTAGCTGAGATCAGATAAGGTCATTGTTCTAATTGTCCCTGGCTATGTTGTGAATAAATTCAATTTATGAGAAAGACCTTTAAAATGGAAAGCATTCCCAAAACAGGAGATAATGTTTTTTGTTTTAAAATGTTATGCTTTTTATGTGAATCAAATCTCTGTATATAAAAGCCTAAGCAGCTGTTATGACAGGTTGACTAGAATGACTAGAATGACCAGAATGACCGGTCACTATGATCGCACAGACCACCAGGGGGCAGATGCTCAAGGCAGGACCTTTTCCCAGCCTGAAGGCCTGATGGCTGATGGGCCTGCCAGCCAACCTCCTGGTTCCTCCCTCCACTAGCAGGCCCCTGGGCTGGGATGGGAAACCAGGGGTGGGTGGTGGTGAGCATGGCCCCTTTCCCAGTAGGGCTGAGGGTTAGCTTTTTTCTTGGGGCCAGCAGCCAACCTTTTAGGTCCCTCCCCCTAATTCTCTCCCTGGCTGGCAGGCCCATGGGAGCGGTGGTGGTGGGAGCAGGGCTGCTGGCAGAGAGGGGACTGGGGGCCAAGGTGGGAGAGGACAGGCAGGTCCACGGATGATGGGCCAAAACCCACCTCTGTGCCCACCACAGCCTCCCAGCCCACAGTTCCTTTCAAGGTGCACAAATTCGTACACTGGGCCTCTAGTGAGGTTATAAAATGGTGTTATAGTTCTATATTTATTGCACTTTATATACTCATAACATTATCTATTGTATAATATATGCGAAGGGGGGCAAGTTGTAAAATATGAATAGTGGAAGAACTGATTTTTAAAAAAGTGCATGTCCATAAGGAAAGTAAGAAATGATATATGAAAAGATGTTAACAGCTTTTCTTTGGTTGGTAGAATTTGGGGATAATATCTGTTTTAAAAATATTTTTCTATGTACTTTATCTTTTTGTAAAGAAATAAAGCTAATAAAAGTAACTTGTTGCTAGAAAGGATACAATATTTGCGTTGTCCCATCTGGAAATGAAGTCAGAAACTTGCTCCCATGTTTATAGTGCTTCTCCACGAGCTCATCACTCATGATCTATGAACCACAGGAGAGAGAAGGACACTGAACTGTCAATTATTTCACATAGAACACATTTACATAAGACACCCTTTGCTTGCTAGACAATGATACAAATCATTTCTTAATTTAAATTTATGGCCCTGCTTAAGTGACAGGGAATAACCCTTAGACATCATTAAAGATTGTCCCTAATCCCTGAAGATAACTTGACAAAACTTTCTGGCAAAAATCTGACATTACATATCTCTTTGAAGGATTTTTGTTTTACTTTACACACATATTAAATACTAAAAAACAAAACAGAAAATAAAAAAACAACCCACTACAATGAAAATATTCTATATCTTGATTATAATGGTGATTAAAATTCATAGAGCCATACATCCAGAAAAGGTATATTTTACTCTACATAAATTATACTTCAGTAAACTGACTTTAAATCCCCGTGACAGCTGCAGTATCTGGTGTCACTTCAAGGGTGATCTTGAGGTTTATCTGAGCAAAACACTAGTAGAATGTGGGAAGATGAAGAAAGAAATATAGGGGCGGGGGCAGGGGGAGGAAAGGAGAATAAAAAAGAAATACAGAAAACTCCTAATTTATATCTAAGTTTAATTATTTTATATGTAATGTTTGGTAGGGATATGAATTTGCCCCCAAGAATATTTTATAATAAAATAAAAGATTCAATTTGATTTTACTTATTCCTAATCTTGAATTGTGGTAAAATGGATACAGGAATTCCTAGAGGTGCCCAGCCAGCGTGGCTCAGTGGTTGAGTTTTGACCAGGAAGCAAGAGATGACTGGTTGGATTCAGTCAGAACGCATGCCCAGGTTGTGGGCTCAATCTCAAGTAGGGAGTGTGCAGGAGGCAGCTGATTGGGGTTTCTCTATCATCAATGTTTCTATCTTCCTATCTCTCCCCCTTCCTTCCTCTCTAAAAATCAATAAAAAGTTTTAAAAACAAAGAATTCCTAGGGTTAAATAACCTAATTTTTTAATCTAAATGTTGCCATTTGTTTTAGAAGATAATACATTTTTCACTTTAAAAATATCAAATACATTCATATAGTTGTTAAACATGCTATTTTGTTAATGGGTAATTATAAATGCCCCTGTTTTCACCTCCCGAGTCAAGAAAGCACAGTGCTGATACTTAGAAGCCCTCAGAGTATTTATCCCAAAGCTAATATCCTTCCTAGACATAACCACTAGTCCTAATTTCTAAACAATGTAGTTTAACTTTCCCATTTTAAATTTTACAGAAATGGAATCATACATTATATATTTTCAATATTTTATTTTTCTGTCAACATTCATACATGTCCCAGTATGTAGCAATAGTCCAACAGCTTTCAGTTGTATATTATGAACAATGACACTGTGAGTATTCTTATGGATGTATACTGGTATCCAGTTCCTTTTGGATATTATACCCACAGGAGGAAGTGCTAAATCCCAAGATATGTCTGTCTTTTAGTTTATAGATAATGCCAAGATGATTTTCAAGTTGTACCAATCTATATTCTTCCCAGAGGCAAATAATAGCAATTGTTGCTCTATGTCCTTTCCAATACAGTATTATCAGACTTAAATTTTTAAAATATATTTTTGCCAATATGATAGGTATGTAGATATGTATGGATCCCTAATTGTAATTTTAATTTTCCTTTTCCATATTACTGATGAGGTTGAACTCCTTTATATATATTTATAGATCATTTGAATTTTCTCCTTTGAGAAGTATGCAATTTTTTTTGCCCATTTTTTATTAGATGGACTTTTTTTCATGTCTTTTTATATTTAGGATATAAACCCATATGTATGTCACATGTGCTGCAAATATCTACCCCTTCTTGGCTTATCTTTCATAACTTTAATTTTTAATAAGATTTTTAATTGTTTTTTAGAGAAAGAGAAAGGTAGAGGGAGGAAGGGAGGGAAGGAGAGAGAGAGAGAGAGAGATAGATAGAGAGAGAGAGAGAGAGAGAGAGAGAGAGAGAGAGAGAGAGAGAGAGAGAAGAGAGAGAAACTCATGTGAGAGCAAAAAATTGGTCAGCTGCCTCCTACATGCCCCTTACTGGGGGTGGAGCCCACAACCCAGGCCTGTGCCAAGAATCAAACAAACAATTTTTCAGTGCAAGGGGCAATGCCCAACAGAGCTACACTGGCCAGGGCCACACCTTTAATTTTAACTTATCAAATCTTTTATGGATACTGCTTTCTTCATAAATTAGTAAATCTTTCCCTAACATAAGGTAATATCGCTATTCTCCTATATAAAGGAAATCTTTGCATTTCTGCATTTCACATTAAGGTCTTTAATCCAATTAAAATTGATTTTTACATATGATGTGAGATAGTGGTTCCAATTTCACTAAAAAACTATGGATACCTGACTGTCCCAGAGCTATGTTTTGAAAAGACTTTTCTTTCTGCATTATTATGTAGTGCCACTGCTGTTATAAATCAGATGTTTATGTATGTGTGAGTCTGTTCTGGACTTTTTATTCTTTGTTTATCTTGCCCTAATATTACACTTTAATCTTAATCACACATTTTATAACTAGAGGACTGATGCACGAAATTTGTGCATGGAGGGGGGCGTCCCTCAGCCTGGCCTGCTCCCTCTCGCAATCTGGGACACTTCACTCCTGACCGCCAGCCTGCTCGCTCCTTAGCTTCTTACTGCTTGGTTTGCTGCCGCTTAGCACTTCTGTGCTCATCATTTGTGAGCCTGGCTCAGGGCTGCTGGCTGAGCAGAGCTCCTGCTATGGGAGCCTCTGCACTGACCATCAAGGGGCAGCTCCTGCACCGAGTGTCTGTCCCCTGGTGGTCAGTGCACATCATAGCAACTGGTTGTTCCACTGTTTGGTTGATTTGCATATTAACCTTTTATTATATAGGATAGGTCTTAATTTTCTGATAGACTATGTTTCCATCCTTCCCAGCATTCTTCTCAAGAATGTCTAGGCTATTCTAGATTTTTTTATATTTCCATGTAAATATTAGAATCAACTTGCCAATACCTCTTTTTTCCCCATATACACAAATATATCATCCTGTTAGAATTTGAAATTTGGGAAGAATGTCATATTTAAACTATTTAATCTTCTCTTCCATGAACAAATTTGTTAAATGAGTTGTTCAAGTATTCTTCTGTATTACAGCTCTTTTTTAGTCTAATAGTCCTCTCAATTATGTGAGAGGTAAGTTAAAGTATTCCATTAGATTATTAATTGAAATATTTTTATTTCTATGAATTTTTTTATATATTTAAAATTATATTAATATGGGAAATATTTTGTAATGTTATATTTTCATGGTAGATTAAATTTATTATGATTATTAAGTGATCCTCTTTCTCATTAGTAATGCTCATTATTATTTTCACAATATATTATTTTTACTTATTTATATTTAATCTTTTTGTATCATATTTTATTTTATTTTAAAATATATTTTATTGAGTTTTTTTTATAGAAAGGGAGGGAGAGGGATAGAGAGTTAGAAACATTGATGAGAGAGAAACACTGATCAGCTGCCTCCTGCACACCCCCTACTGGGGATGTGCCCACAACAAAGGTACATGCCCTTGATCGGAATCGAACCTGAGACCTTTCAGTCCACAGGCCAAAGCTCTATCTACTGAGCCAAACCGGTTTTGGCTGAATCCTTATATATTTTATATATGTATATGTAATTTCAGAGAGGAAAGGAGAGAGAGAGAGAAATAGAAACATCAATGATGAGAGAGAATTATTGGTCAGCTGCCTCCTGCACAACCCCTACTGGGGATTGAGTCCGCAACCCGAGCATATGTTCTGACTAGAAATTGTATGGTGACCTCCTGATTCATACATTGTTGCTCAACCACTGAGCCACATCAGCCAGGCTGTATCCTTATATTTTAAATGTGCCTCTTGTAAACAATATATGGTTGACTTTTAATTTTTTAATTGGCAGTCTTTGTCTACTAACTGGAGTATTTAGTCTATTTACATATAATATAATTGCTGACATTTCTTACTGTTTTCTACCTGCTTTTTTCTCTTATTCTTTTTTGTCTTTTTGCGGATGTTTCTAATAAATTGTTCTATTTTTTGTTCTTCCTTGACTAGTAGGGAGGTTATACTCTCTGCTTTTATTATTTTTGAAATGTCTGGCTACTCTAGACATTTCATCAAGAAAACTTAAATTTATCAAAGTCTGAAGTTGTGCTATGTATTTGCCACAGTGAAGAGTGTAGTATTTACAACCCCCCTTCCCCCCCCCCCCCCCCAAAAAAAACCCAACCAAACAAACAAACAAACCAAAAAACCCGATCACATTGCTTGGGATTTATTGGGCTTAAATCTGTGGTTCAGTCTCTTTTATCAGTTCTGAAAAATTTCCTATTATCTTTTTGAATACTACCTCTGCCTGATTATCTTTCTTCTCTCCTTCTGGGATTTTGAATAAATATATTTTAGGCCCCTCATTTTATTTTCACATCATACGCTCTCTTCTGTTTTCCTTAACATTTTTTGTCCCCATGATGAACTTTGTTATTGTTTTCAATTCTCTTTTAAGTTTTTATTTTCAGTTATTTTGTTTTCACCTCTGTAAGTTTATTTTTTCTTTTCAAACCTGTTATGTGACTTTATAGTTTTCTTTTCCTTCCAAATATCTTGAAGCTAATATTTTATTTTCATAAACACAGATTAATTCAGTTTCCAAAGTCTTTGCAGGTCTTTTCTTATTGGATAGTATTTCTCTGGATTTTTTTTTTTTTTATTGTGCTGTTGTTTCCTAGTGTCCTTGGTTCTTTTACATGTGTGCTGGTAATTGAACTTGAAAGATAATTTATAGGAATAATTTGAGGGCTGGATGAGTAATCTTTCTCCAGACAGTTTTTGTATTTGATTTTGTCAGGGACAATTCACTGCCACCCCTTAAATTCTATGTCACTCAAGAGAAACAAACCTTGTCTTAGTAATTTAATTTCTAGGAATCTATTCTTAGGAATTATATTTACATAAAAATAAATTTATACATAAAGATATTTAAAGCAATGTTATTTTGTATAGCAAAAAACTGTTGATAATCTATATGTCCAATAAGAGGGAATGCTTAGGTAAGTTACATGGAAAAGTACATAGATATTAAAATAATGTTAATATAAGCTACACAATATCATGGTAAACAATTTTTAATAATTGAATTTAAAAGAAGATAAAAATTACATATATATATATATATATATATATATATATATATATATATATATATATATATATATAAAAGCCTAAGTGACTGAACGACTGAACAACCTGATGACTGGTCAGTATGATGTGCACTGACCATCAGGGGGAAGATGCTTAATGCAGGATCTGCCCCCTGGTGTTCAGTGCACTCCCACAGCCAACCTCCCATGGCCAGCCAACCTTCCATGGTCCTTTCTCCCAGCTGGGCAGCCCCTATTGGTCCTGATCGGGGCTGGGCAAGATGGCCCTGATTGGCCCCAATTGCTGGCCAGGCCAAAGAGCCCCACCCACGCATGAAATCATACACTGGGCCTCTAGTATAATATAAATATAAGTATGTTAACAAAAACCATTGCATAAAAGTGTCCAGAATGGTTATTGTCTAATAAAACTTTTGGTGACCATAAAAATGTTCTGTATCTTCCCTGCAATTTGGTAGCCATTAGTTACACACAGCTATTTAATACTTGACATATGGCTAGCGTGACTAAAGAATTGCAGTTTAGCCAAAACCTGTTTGGCTCAATGGATAGAGCATCAGCTTGGGGACTGAAGGGTCCCGGGTTCGATTCCGGTCAAGGGCATGTACTTTGGTTGCGGGCATATCCCCAGTAGGGGGTGTGCAAGAGGCAGCTGATCGATGACTCTCTCTCATCGATGTTTCTAACTCTCTATCTCTCTCCCTTCCTCTCTGTACTAAATCAATAAAATATATTAAAAAAAAAAAAAAAGAAAAAGAATTGCGGTTTAGCCCTGGATGGGTAGCTAAGTGGTTAGAGCATCGGCCTATGGACTGAAGAGTCCAGAGGGTGCCTATAGGAGGCAACCAATCAATGTATCACTCTTGCATCAATATTTCTCTCTTTCTCTCTCTCTCTCTCTCTCTCTCTCTCTCTCTCTCTCTTTCTCTTTCTTTCCCTCTCCCTCTCTCTCTCTCTCTCCTACTTTCCATTCTCTCTAAAAAAAAAAAAATCAATGGAAAAAATATCCTCAGGTGAGGATTAACAATAACAAAAAAAGAATAATAGCTTAAATTCTATTTAATTTTAATTATTTCAAATTTAGCTGTATGTAATAGTAGCTACTATATTGGCTATTGTAGGTCTAGAAATTTTTGAAATATTAATAATTATCGTTTTGGGAAGTGGTTGAGAGTTTTGGTGACTTTTCCCCTTTCTTTTTAGTTTTCAAAGGGTTCCAAATGTTCCTTAATGTACAATTTACATTTTTACAGTAAAAAGGCTTTAACCAAACTAGTACCCCATCAAACATATGTAAAGTATTGTTGTTAAGTCTAGTAGAATTTGAAAGGTCAACTCTATACTAAATCCTTTAAATATATATATTATTGAGAGAGGAAAAGAGAGAGGGAGAGAGAGAGAAAGAGATAGAAATATCATTGATCAGCTGCCTCCAGCATGCATCCACTGGGGATTGAGCCCAAAACCTGGGCAGGTGTCCTGACTAGGAATCAAACCATGAACTCCTATTTCATAGATTGATGCTCAACCATTGAGCCACGCTGGCCAGGCTATACCAATTCTTTTTGATACATAGTTAAATGTGCTATGTACACAAGCTGCCATATTGATCATGATAGTTTTTATACATTGAGGTAAAACTAATTTTTAAAGCATAGCAAGAAAAAAATTACAAACTAATTACCTTTCCACACGCTGTCCTAGAATCACAACTAATGATGGACATGTTTCTTTTGTCTATTTCAAAATCAAATGATTTGTCATCAACTATCTTTTTTTCTGTTATATCCACAGAAAGTTGATAAGAAATTGTTTTACAGTGCTTTGGTTCTAGAAGGAAAAGAATCACATGAAGTTCATACATGTTTTAAATCTTTGAAAACCTCTACTCTAAAATGAAACTTTAAACTATTGCAAATGCATTGCTTCATCAGGAATATTTTAATGGAATAAAAATTTAACCTCCATTAAATTAAAGTGAGGAACCTTTCTTTGTTAAACAAACAAACATGAAACCATTCATTCTTTTGTTAAAAAAAGAAAAATGAGAATTGCTTTGGGATCCAGCACCTTGATCTGGAAGCAAAATGGCAGCTGAATATGCAGCAGTGTTTTGCACCTCTTCCTAGGGCCAGGCCAGAAAAGCAACTAAATTGGAGAATATCCACCATGAAGTAACAAATTGTATACAGCTGAGAAGACAATTTTCAATAAAGCAGGGGAGAGGATGCCTAGAGAATGCCACTTGCCAGCCATAATCTATGTGGAACCACCACTGTGCCTGGCCCCCAGATGTCTGCACACAGTGAGTGAGCTCCACACCAGGTTTTCTCAACAGCCTAGTGTCCTAGGATCCAGCTTCAAGACTCTGCAGAGAGTGCAAGCCATGGGGAAACCTGCACACCTCCCCTGCCCCAGCCCTTCAGACAAAGAGTGCATCTTAAAGGCTGCCAGAGAGAGGGAGAGAAAGTTACTTATAAGGCATCCCCCATTAGAACATAAACTGATTTATCAACAGAAACACATCAGGCCAGAAAGAAATGGAATGAAATATACAAATTGATGCAAAGCAAGGGACTGAATCCAAGAATACTATACCCAGCAATTCTACCATTCAAAATTGAAGGTGAAATAAGGAGCTTCACAGACAAAAAGAGGCTAAGGGAGTTTATCACCACTAAGCCAGCCAATGCAAGAAATGCTAAAGGGATTGCTGAATAAAGAAGAAGGAAGGGAAGAAGGCTGGTACAATATTCACAAATCAATAAATGTGATACATCACATAAATAAAATGAAAGATAAAAATCACATGATCATATCAATAGATGCAGAAAAAGCATTAGACAAAATTCAGCACCTTTTTTTTTATTATTATAAAACATCTCAGTAAAGTGGGAATAGAGGGATCATACCTCAACATAATAAAAGCTTTATATAACCAACCTAAAGCCAACATCATACCCAATGGGCAAAAACTAAAACCATTTCCCTTATAACAGGAACAAGACACAGTTGTGCACTCTCACTACTCCTGTTTGACCTAGTATTAGAAGTGCTAGCCATAGCAATCAAACAAGAAGAAATAAAAGGCACCCACATTGGAAAAGAAGAAATAAAACTCATTATTTGCAAATGACATAATATTATACATAAACCACCACGCCCCTCAAAAAAAAAAAAACACCAAGGAGGATCCAAGATGGCTGCGCCCAGGTAACACCTAGCCGCAGCCGCACACAACAATTTCAATAAAATACAACTAAAATATAAAATGGACATTACCCAGAACTACAGGAAAGCCGATTGACTGGAAATTCTATAACAAGAAGCAAGGAGGAAACCAGAAGGAAGCACGGAGGAGCTGGAAAAGCCCAAGGTACGGAGACACGCGGAGCGAAGAGGACGGAGCCGGAGAGGAGGGAGGCCAAGTGCCTGGCGGGCATTCCCTAGCGGGAAGGAGATAAAACTCCGACTGTGCTGGGCCCCACTCTGACTGCTCTGTACCCCAGGCCTAGGCCAGACCCCGGGGACCCAGGCTCACACAGAGGAAGCTGGGCTGCGAGGCGGTACCCGGGGAAGCTGCAAAAGGGGGTCCTGGCGGCGCGCACAGTGCGCGCAGAGAAGGAACAGCCGGTTGTGCCTCGGGATTGTCTGGCAGGAAGGAGACAGGGGCTCCAGACTGCTCTGAACGCCACCTCCAACTCCATTTCCAACTGAACTGAACCCCAATACCGGGCTCAGTGGGGAAGAGCATTGACTGTTTGGCAGCAGGCGAAAATCGAGGGCACCTTTCTCTCAGAGGCACTTGCAGCAAGTTCTGAAAGACCCGCATAGGGCGGGGCTGACTGAAGCCAAGGCTGCAGGCTCCACCCTGAAACCCCGCCCCATCTGTAGCTGCAAAATGCGACAACGAAATAGATCACAAATGAAAGAAATGGAGGACAAAAAGTGGCTGGATATAGAATTCAAATCTACGCTTATAAGGTTTTTCAAGAATTTCCTAGAAAAGATGGATAAGACCTATGAGGATATGAAAAGAGATCAACTAGAATTAATAAGGAATCAACAAGAAATGATAAAGGATCAACAAGAAATAAAGAATACATTGTCTGAAATAAAAAATAGTATACAGAGTCCTAAAAACAGAATGGAAGATCACAAGAATCAAGTCAAAGATTTGGAGCATAAAGAGCCAGAAGACACTCCTCTGCAGAAGCTAGAAGGCAAGAAAATCCAGAAAATTGAAGATAATGTAAGAAACCTCTGGGACAACTTCAAGCGAACCAACATCAGAATTATGGGGGTCCCAGAAGATGAGAGAGAGCAAGATATCGAAAACATACTGAAAGAAATAGTGACAGAAAACTTCCCCCACCTGGTGAAAGAATTAGACTTACAAGTCCAGGAAGCGCACAGAACTCCAAACAAAAGAAATCCAAAGAGGACCACACCAAGACACATCATAATTAAAATTCCAAGAGCAAAAGACAAAGAAAGAATATTAAAAGCAGCAAGAGCAAAGAAGGGAGTTACCTATAAAGGAGCACCTATACGATTGTCAGCTGACTTCTCAACAGAAACCATGCAGGCCAGACGGGAATGGCAAGAAATATTCAAGGTGATGAATGGTAAGAATCTACAGCCAAAGATAATCTATCCAGCAAAGCTATCACTCAGAATCGAAGGTCAGATAAAGAGCTTCACTAATAAAAAAAAAAGCTAAAGGAGTTCATCAACACCAAACTAGAATTATATGAATTGCTGAAGGGGGTTCTTTCAGAAGAGAAAGTAAATAATGATAAAAATTATGAACAACAAATACGTAACTATCAACAAGCGAATCCAAAAACCAAGGAAATTTAAAAAAATCTGATGAACAATATTAATGATTGAATATTATAGAGTCAGAGGTATGGAAGGGGAGTGAACTGACGATTCTTGGGGAAAAGGGGAGAGGGGGATGTGGGAAGAGACAGAACATAGACTGTGCACCTATGGATGGGGACAATGGGGAGTGGGGAAGGGGTGGAGGGTGGGGTGGGAATCTGGTGGAGGAGAGCATGGTGGGGAGGGAAAAAGGAACATTTGTAATAATATGAATAATAAAAACTTATAAAAAAAAAAAACGAATAAAACACACCAAGAAAACTACTAGATTTAATATATGAATTTGGCTCTACAGTGGGATACAAAATTAACACCCAGAAATATATGGCCTTTTTATTCACCAATAATAAACTCGCAGAAAGTGAAATTGAAAAAAATAATCCCATTTACTGTTGCAACAACAAAAAATTAAGATACTTGGGAACACACTTAACTAAGGAGATAGAAGACCTGTAATTAGAAAACTATAGGACATTGAAAAAAAGATATAAAGGAAGACATAAACAAATAGAAGAATATATCATGTTCATGGATTGGTAGAATCAACATCAATAAAATGTCCATACCACTCAAAGTAATCTATAGATTTAATGCAATCCTTATTAAAATACCAATGGCATATTTCACAGACCTAGAATGAACTCTACAAAAATTCATATGGAATAAAAAAAGATCCCAAATAGCAACAGCAATCCTGAGAAAGAAGAACAAAGTTGGTGGTGTCACAATACCAGATATCAAGGTGTATTACAAAGCCACTGTTCTCAAAACTGCTTGATTCTGGCACAAAAACAAACATATAAACCAATGGAACCAAACAAAGAATTCAGAAATTGACCCAAGAGATTATGCTCAATTAATATTTGACAAAGGAGGCAAGAACAAACAATGGAGTCAAGACGGTCTATTCAATAAATGGTATTGGGAAAATTGGACAGATACATGCAAATAAATGAAGTTAGACAACTAACATCATACACAAAGATAAACTCAAAATGGATAAAGACTTAAATGTAAGATGAGATACCATAAAAATATTAGAAAAATCCAAAGGGAACAAAATATCAGACATATGTTATATCTTTACCAATACATCTCTTAGGGCAATGGAAACTAAGGGGAAAATAAACAAATGGGAATACATGAAAATAAAAGACTTCTGCACAGCAAAAGAAACCATCAAGAAAATAATAAGAAAGCCCACTGCATGGCAGAACATATTTGCCAATGTTATCTCTGATAAGGGCCTAATCTCCAAAATTTGTAGAAAACTCATACATCTTAACAAAAGGAAGATAAATAATCCAATAAAAAAATAGGCAAAGGGGAGAAACCAAGATGGTGTCCTAGGTAAGCACCTAAACAGCTCCCTTGCACAATAATTTCAAAACAACAACTAAAAGATAGAATGAACATCATCCAAAACCACAGAAAATCTGGCTGAGTGGAAAAAGAAGGAAAGGGAAAAGTTTTTGGGTCAGAAGAGCTGCAGAGCGTTGAAGTAGGGAGACTCGTGTGCAGAGAGGAAAGGTGGCCGAGTGCCTGGCTGGCGGGAGGGGAAAGGAAGCCCCCACTGCACTGAACCCCAGCTTTGGCCAAAACCTCGTGGACCCAGGCTCATATGGGTGGAGTCTGGACTGCAGAGAAAGGTACATGGAGACTCGGAGACTCAGGGGAGCCGCAGTGGGCAGGGGTCTGAAGGCATGCATGCACGTGAGTGTGCCCAGAGAGGTCTGACTTTGCAGGTTGCCACAGGCTTTCCAAAGCAGAAGAAGTCAGAAGGTCCTGACGGCACTGAATCCAGTTCTGACTGCACTTAATCCCAGTTCTGACTGCACTGAAACTCAGTTCTGGGCGAGCCCCTGGGGGACCCACGCTCTTACAAGGGGAATCTGTACCATCAGGACGAAACTCAGGGGATCCGTGGAAGGCAGAGGTCTGGAGGCACTGGGATTCAGTCTATTTATTGAATAGACTGTCTTGACTCCATTGTTTGTTCTTGCCTCCTTTGTCAAGGGCAGGGCTGATGGGAAGCCAAGACTGTCTGCTCAGCCCTGAGATTCCACCCCATCCAAACTGAGCACAGAGGCTTTTGCAATTTTGCAAGTCTGGTCCTATAAGACTGTCTCCAATACAGAAGGTATCCTGGCTTAGATACAGCTGATACTCACATCCAATTGGCCTGGAGGCTAATTCCTCTCAGTGATACCAACAACAATCAAGACTTAACTATTGTACAACAAGGCTGTATACACAGTCCTGGGGAAGCTGACTCACCAGGCTATATAAGACACCAAGCACATAAAGCCATCCTACCAACTCAGGGAAGCAGTGAAAATGCGAAGTCAAAGAAATAGACCACAAATAAAAGAAATGGAGAACAAAGACTGGATATAGAGTTCAAAACCACGTTTATAAGGTTTTTTAAGAAAAGGCCAATAAATTTAATGAAATCCTTGAGGATATGGAAAAGAACCAACTAGAAATTAAACATACACTGACTGAAATAAAAAATATTATACAGAAACCCAACAGAGACTAGAGGAAAACAAGAATCTATTCAAAGACTTGAAATACAAAGAAACAAAAACACTCAATCAAGAAAGAAAAAAACAAACAAACCCAAAAGTTGAAGATATTGTAAGGAGCCTCTGGGATAACTTCAAGCGTACCAACATCAGAATTATGGGGAAGAGAAGAGAGCAAGATACTGAAAACCTATTTGAAGAAATAATGACTGAAAACTCCACCTGGTGAAAGAAATAGATTTACAAGTACAGGAAGTGCACAGAAGTCCAAACGAAGGAATCCAAAGAGGACCACACTAAGACACATAATTAAAGTGCCAAAGACAAAAGACAGAGAATATTAAAGGCAGCAAGAGAAAAATAGTTAATTACCTATACGAGCACCCATACGATTGTCAGCTGATTTCTCAACAGAAACTCTGCAGTCCAGATAGGAGTGGTAAGAAATATTCAAAGTATTGAATAGCAAGAACCTGCAACCAAGATTACTCTACCCAGCAAAGTTGTCTTTCATAATGGAAGGTCAGATAAAGAGCACAGATAAGAAAAAGCTAAAGGAGTTCATCACCACCAAACCAGTATTATATGAAATGCTAAAAGGTATTCTTTAAGAAGAGGAAGAAGAAAAAAGTAAAGATAAAAATTATGAACAACAAATACATATCTATCAACAAGTGAACCTAAAAAAAAAAAACAATTAAAAATCTGAGGAACAGAATAAACTGGTGAATATAATAGAATCAGGGGCAAAGAAAGGGAGTGGATTAATAATTATCAGGGGGGAAAGGGTGTGGGGGTACAGGAAGAGACTGGACTAAAATCGTACTCCTATAGATGAGGACAGTGGGGGTGGGGAGGTAAGGGCAGAAGATGGGGTGAGAACTGGGTGGAGGGGAACTATGGGGGAAAAAAGGAGAAATGATTGTAATAATCTGAACAATAAATATTTATTAAGTTAAAAAAAAGAAAGAAACCAGAAAAAAAAATAGGCAAAGGATTTAAATTGACACTTTTCAAAAGTGGACAGACAGAAGCCCAGGAGACATATAAAAACATGCTTAAAGTCACTAATAATCCGAGAGATGCAAATCAAAATGACAATGAAATACCATCTCATACCTGTCAGAATGTTATCGTCAACAAATTGACAAAAGACAAGTGCTGGCGAGCATGTGGAGAAAAAGTATCCCTCCTGCACTGCTAGTGGGAATGCAGACTGTTGCAGCCACTGTCGAGAACAGTATGGAGTTTCCTCAAAAAACTAAAAATGATCCCACTTCTAGGAAAATATCCCAATAAATCAGATATGCCAATCAGAAAGAATATATGCACCCCTATGTTCATAGCAGCACAATTTACCATAGCTAAGATTTGGAAACAGCCTAAGTGCCCATCAGCAGACAAGTGGATTAGAAAACTGGTACATTTGCACAATGGAATACTACATTGCAGTAAAAAAGAAGGCACTCCTACCATTTGCAGTAGCATGGATGGTCCTGGAGAGCATTATGCTAAGCGAAATAAGTCAGTCAGAGAAAGATAAATATCACATTATCTCTCTTATTTGTGGATTATAATGAACAACATATACTGATGAACAAAAACAGATCTAGAGACAGAGAAGCATTGATCAGATGTTCAAACTTCAGAGGTAAGGTAGGGGACGGTGGGCATAAGGGGAAGAGATCAACCAAAGGACTTGTGTGCATGTATATAAGCCTAACCAATGGACACAGACACTAGGGGGGTAAGGGTATGTGCTGGTGGGGTGGGGGGTGGAGGGAGAGGTCAATAAGGGAAGTTAAAACAAACAAACAAAAACAGAAAAATGTTCATTTTAATTAAGTGCAATTTTCTTGCTTTAAACCTAGTAGAAAACAGTTGAGTATCAAGAACCTTATACTAGATATTTAGGTTAAAAAACAGAAGTATCTTCTCCATAGTACTGAATGGTAGAGGAGGAGCTTAATGCTCAGAAAGATTAAGTAATTTACTCCAAAGCAGGCAGCCTCTAAATAGAAAAGCAAGGACATAAGTTCAGAGCTTGTGATTCTAACATCAGTATTCCTTCAACAGTCCCAGCTCTATAACTTTATTTGTCAAGTGACTGATGGAACCTATGAAGAAAGAAATCTGATTTATTTTTGACAGATTTACCATACCCCCGCTTGAAAACAAAATGGAATATGTGCTTAATAAAACAAAAGACACTGAACCCAAAAGCTCTCTGCAGTTATCTGTAACATGCTCTATACTACCATAGATGTTGCTAATTTATTTCAATCAATAATAACTAGATGAAGACTAAAAGCTTCAAAAGCTAGATGGTTTGAAACCAGCTTTCCTTAGCCATTTTGACTAATGCATTGACTGAAATGAAAACTTTAGTGTTTTTTAAATATGCCAGTTTTTCCCTGGACAGTTTGGCTCAGTGGATAGAACATCAGCCTGTGGATTTAAAGGCCCCCGGTTAGATTCTGGTTAATGGCACCTACCTTAGTTGTAGGCTCAATCCCTGGCCTTGGTCAGGACACATGCAGGAGGCAAACCAATTAATGTGTCTCACATCAATGTTTCTCTCTCTGTGTCCCTCCCCTTCTTTTCCACTATCTCTTTAAAAAAAATCAATGGAAACATATCCTCGGGTGAAGATTAATAAAATAAAAATATGCCCATTTAAGCTCTTGGTCAAGCATATGAGCTTTCTGATGTACAGTTGATCTATAACATAAGCATTGATGAACTCACCTTCTTCAGAGAAACTAGGAGTATGTTCAATTGTTTTTAGTTCCCAATGTTTGGGTATTTGTTGCTCCTGTTTTCTAAAAACAAAACAAAACAAAACAAAACAAAAAAACACAAACCATAGATTTAATGTTTCAAGCTGTAAAAAGTATATGACAAATTATAACTGTTTCAATGTCACCCCTTGTAATTTTTATCTGTTATTACTTGTTAATCTAGTTATTTAATCAAAGCACATGGATCTCCATTTTGTTTAGTGGACAAATTTCTCCAAAATAGGAATTCTGAATTGTCCTGAGAATCTGGATCAGTTTCTATTTTAAATTAGTGAGTTCACTGAGTTTCTGGGAGTGCCTGGATCTCATAACATCCACCAGGCTTTGTAATAGGTTTGTTTGGCAAATTTTATCTCTTCACTGGGAATGTATCTTCAAAATTATGTATTTTGAAAAACCAGGTTCATTTTACAAAGAGCTCTCTAAGTGGACTTATCTGAGTTTCAATATCCAAAGCTCGATGTTACCTCCGCAGGGCCTTTTCCTTTGCTCTGATCCTCTCCATCTCAGTGCCATGGGCTTTATGAGGGTCGATACAGATGAATTTCTCTTTAGTGTTTTGGATTTTTTGTTTTTCCTCATAGATGTAATCAACCAGATTTTGGAAAGAACTACAACAGATGGTCTAAAAACAAAGAGGTCATTTTCTTATCTTTAGTTCTGGGTGAAGATAATTAGAGGGGGTAAAAACCAAAAATGGCTAACGGGGTTTGAATAATAATCTACAATAACAGTTTTTGGTAAAAAATTTTATTGAGATATAATTCATATACCATACAATTGACCCATTTAAAGTGTGCAATTCAATGGTTTTTAGTGTATCCAGAGTTGTGTAACCATCACCACCATCAATTGTAGATGAAACCTGTACCCATTGACACTCATTCCCTATCCTCCTCTCCGCTCAGCCCCTGGCAACCACTAATCTACTTTCTGTCTCAATTATTGCCTGTTCTGTATAATTCATATACATGGGATCATACAAAATGCGTTACTTTGTATATGGCTTCTTTCACTGAGCATGTTTTCAAGGTCCATCTATGTAGTAGTATGTATTATTACTTCGATTCTTTTTTTTAAAAAAACTTTTAAAATAAATCTTTATTGTTCAGATTATTACAAATGTTCCTCTTCACCACCCCCTCCATTGCTCCTCTCCACCAGGTTCCCATTCCACACTCTGCTCTTTCCCCACTCCCCATTGTCCTCATCCATAGGTGCACAGTTTATGTTCAATCTCTTCCCACACCCCCCACTACCCTTTTCTCCGAGAATTGTCAGTCCACTCCCCTTCCATACCTCTGATTCTATTATATTCACCAGTTAATATTGTTCATCAGCTTTTTAATTCCCTTGGTTTTTAGATTCACTTGTTGATAGTTACGTATTTGTTGTTCATAATTTTTATCTTTATCTTCTTCCTTCTTCCTCTTCCTAAAGAACCCTCTTCAGCAATTCATATAATTCTGGTTTGGTGTTGACGAATTCCTTTAGCTTTTTTTTTTTTTTTCTTCAATTTGTGAAGCTCTTTATCTGGCCTATGATTCTGAGTGATAGCTTTGCTGGGTAGAGTAACTTTTGCTGTAGGTTCCTGCTATTCATCACTTTGAATATTTCTTGCCATTCCCGTCTGGCTTGCATGGTTTCTGTTGAGAAATCAGCTGACAATCTGGGTGCTCCTTTATAGGTAACTACCTACTTTTCTCTTGCTGCTTTTAATATTCTCTCTTTGTCTTTTGCTCTTGGAATTTTAATTATGATGTGTCTTGATGTGGTCCTCTTTGGATTCCTTTTGTTTGGGGTTCTGTGTACTTCCTGGACTTGTAAGTCTAATTCTTTCACCAGGTGGGGAAGTTTTCTGTCACTATTTCTTCCAGTATTCTTTCAGTATCTTGCTGTCTCTTTTCTTCTGGGACCCCCATAATTGATATTGGTTCACTTGAAGTTGTCCCAGAGGCTTCTTTTACTATCTTTAACTTTCTGGATTCTTGTGTCTTCTTGATTCTGCAGAGGAGTGTCCTCTGGCTCTTTGTGTTCCAAATATTTGACTTGATTCTTGCGATCTTCCATTCTGTTTTAGGACTCTGTATAATATTTTTTATTTCAGACAATGTATTCTTTATTTCTAGATCCCTTTTCATATCCTTAAATGTCTCATTTATTTTATCGGCCTTTTCTAGGAAATTCTTGAAAAACCTTATAACCATGGTTTTGAACTCTATATCCAGTCTTTTGTTCTTCATCTCTTTCGTTTGATACCTATTTCCTTGTCTCAGCATTTTCTCTGATTCCCAGAGCTGGTAGGATGGCTTTGTGTGTTTGGTCTTCTATATGGCTCGATGAAGTGTGTTCTATCAGCCTCCCCAGTTACCTGAGGTAGACACTCTTGGTACTCCCCTTTGTAGACTGCATGTACAGCCTTGTTGTAGTTAAGTTTTGATTGTTGTTGGTATCCCTCAGCGCTTTGCAGCTCCCAATCTGATCTGTGAGCCTCTCTCCTTTCTGGTTGTAGATTTTTTACTCTACCAGCTTTCCTGTGTTTTTGGATGATGTCCGTTCTGATTTTAGTTGTTGTTTTGAAATTGTTGTGCAAGGCAGCAGCTTAGGTGCTAACCTAGGCCGCCATCTTGTCTCTCCCCCCCACCCCCATTACTTCAATTCTTATGATTGAATAATATTGGACTTTGTGAATACACCACATTTATTTGCCCGTTCATCAGTTGAAGTGCATTGAATTATTTTCACCTTTCGTCTCTTATAAATCATGCTGCTGTGAACATTTGTGTACAAGTTTTTGTGTAAACATGTATTGTCAATTTTCTTGGGTATGTACCTAGGAATGGATTTGTATATTATATGGTAATTGTATCTGTAACTTTTTGAGGAACTACTCAACTTTCCCCCAACATAGCTGCACCATTTTATACTCCTCTTCAATAGCATATGAGGGTTCCAGTTTCTCTATATCCTTGCCAACACTTGTTATTGTCTGTCATTTTATTAATACTACCCTAGTGGGTATGAATGGTATCCCATTGTGTTTATGATTTGTGTTTCCCTGACTGTTATAACATAATTTTAAAGAATGGCAACTCAAGGAGAAAATACTACATATATTTTAAAATGGCATTTAAAATAATACTACTCTCCTCAGTAAATATGTTTTAGAACTTACCTGTTTTATTGGTTCAGAGATACTGTTGTCAGAATAAATATCCATAGTAGGAAGAAATGTTCTTAGATTACGCCCACAAAATTCACAGGTCAGCAATATCTCTTCCTCTTCTCCCTTGATAGAGGGGAAAAATGAAGACCTGCCCACAAGCAGCATCAGGAGCCAGGATTCTGGGCAGGCCAGTAAGTGCCAGTTAGGACAGCAGGAATATGGAGATGTGCAAACCTACTTGAGAGCTCCTGTCAGACACCCTGAAGTCTCCCAGAAATAGTTGGTGGGAAACTTCCAAGAGCATGAGATTCTATACTAGAAGGTACCCAGCCGGCAAGACCTATATATTCCAGAATGAGACATCACTTCTGTTAATGAGTTGATGAGGATTGAGGATGCAGAGGTGGTGTTGAGGGCCTCTCTCTGCTGCAGTTCACCAGAGTACAGCTGAGCCCATCAGGAGCTGTGTTGGTCCTTTGGATGGCTCCTTAGTGTAAGCACAAAATTTCAGAAATGAATGTTGACATCAGAGTCTCTTGTTGGGGAGAGGGATATACCATGTGTAAGTAGGTGCAAGAGACAGGAGATAACATATATCAATTTTAGGCAAATGGTCTAAGATTTTGAATGCCAAAAACTCCTTTAGGAAGTGCCAGGTAAAAAAAAAATCTTGACATTACATATGCAGGTCACCATTCATAATGATCACCATTCTAAATTAGAGTCCTTTCTCAAGGGGAAGCCCAACCTGGGGCTCTGAATTCTCCTGTCGTGGCTATGAAGGTAATCCCGGAAGGGGAAGGAGAGAGCAGGGGAAGCAAGAAGGAGATTTGGAGTTAGGAGTTCAGGTGGCTCCATGAGGGGTTGATACATTATTGGCATGTTGGTGATATGAGGTCATGATGGCAAGCAGGCAAGCCTCAGCACAGGTCTCAGGAAAAGACAGAGATTATGACTCACAGGTCATGAATACCACAAGGGCATTTGTCATAGAAACCATTCTCTGGGATTGGCAAGATGGCCATCATGGGCCCAAAGTGTACCTGAGGTGGCCAATACAGTCAAAGATTCACCACCCTGGAGTACAGTTCAATACCTCTAGCCATTAAAATGACACAATAATGTAGCTGAAAGCAGAGGACTTAGTGGGTGAGTGCATTGGTAAAGTCTTGTAATAGAGAAATGGTGGAGTAAATCCAGGATGGCTACCAGATGATGGAGCAGGGCAGGAGAGCTTGACAATGCCAGGACATCTGCAACCTGTTCCATTCAAGGATCTTGGTAGTGAGCTCCTCAGCCTGAGATCCCTTTATCCCTTTACCTGGAGTGAAGCAAAGTGGAGATGCATCAAAAGACCATGAGTGGGATTGAAATCTGCATTTGAAGAGGAGGGAAAAGTTGGAAAGCCATTTGCTCTGCTCCTGAACTAGAGAACCTGGAAGGTCTGTCCAAAGAGCAGCCATCCCTGCCCAGGTGCTAGTGCAGGGACAGTTCCCTGGAAGAAAGGACCTTCCTAATGTTCAGGCACATCTCTAGGTGGCGGGAAGGAAGCTTGAGAAACTTCCCTGCATATGAGCCTTTGTGATTCAGAAGAAGGAAGGTGTTATGTTTGAATAAAGAATTTCAACTTGAAGAGTCTATAGGGTGACTAAACCTGGGCTAAATATAAACAGTAAATGTTGGTGGATATTAAATAACATGATATATTCAATGTGTTGCCCCTCACCAGAATTGCACAGTTCAATGTACTGCACAAATCAGCAATGAACACCACCTCAGAGCATCCACACAGATTTCCCACCAATTCCTTAGTGCACTGGCCACGGGCCATCTCACATGATTGGTATCTTGTTTTCAGTGAATAAGCCTGCACCTTAGTGCATCCAGAAGAAGTAATCAAAGGGTTTTCAGGTAGGGGCTGTGCAACTCTCGTCACATGTTCATAACACCCAAGTTTGGAAATAATCATTCCACCAGGCAGTCCCTCACCACTCAGGTGAAGCGGGTGCTGTGCCATCCTGTTGGAATTACTAAGATGACCTTTTCCTTGCCCACCAAGCATAGGCATTGGTCACTTAACATGATCAAATATGGCAAATCCAAATCTTATCTATGTTTCCAGGCATTATGGCCACTCTTACAGGTTAAATGGTGTCCCCCTAAAAGACACTGAAGTTGTAACTCCTGGAACCTGTGAATGTGGCCTTAACTAGAAATGGGGTCTTTGCAGATGTCATTAAGTTTAGATGAGGCCATTAAGGTGGGCCCTAATCCAGCATGGCTAGTGTCCTTGGAGAAAAGAAACACTTGGACACAGACCCCCAGACCTCCAAGGAAACTAAGACAGAAACTGAAGTGATGGCGCTGCCAGTCAAGCATAAGAACTGACAACTACAACCAGGAGCCTGGAAGAGGCAAGAAAGGCTACTCTCCTGCATGCTGCACTTACTGATTTAGACTTCTAACTGGAGACAACACGTGTTTGTCATTTTAAGTCACCTAGTCTGTGGCCCTTTTTGGCAGCAACCCTAGAAAACTACCATAGCTATCCTGTCTAAATGCTATTTCAAGTAAATGGGCTCTCTGCCTATGTTTTTAAAAAGTATGTTCACTATCTTTTGTGCAAATCATCATGTGCCTTTTAACTTCACTTATTAGAGTAAACAAAGAAAAAATGAAAATCACCTTGAAGTCAGTGCCTAAAATGGAACACTCCTGTTTGAATGCCAGAAAGGTTGGTGGCCCGACACTGGGTAATGTTCTCAGAGAAGGCTCAAACAATGTTATAAAGTCTTCCTCAAACTAAATTTTAAAGGGAGACACAGAAAGAGAAAATGAAGATGAATGATTGATTTACCATGAGCATGATTTACTAGTTGGACTGAAATATTTCTTACCTCCAACTCACATAAAATATTTAGTTTTAGCTCTTCTGGATTAATTACCCATTTCTCTGAAGAGAAAAGGATAGATTTAGAAGGAAAGTTTAAAGTCTTTGTGCACTGTATCCCATTTTCTCTAGTTTGGAAATCCTAGCCCATTAAACCCCCCCCCCCCCCCGCCCACGCACACACATTTACTCATACACACACACATGCAAATGCACACCCCCTACACACACGCGCGCACACACACACACACACACACACACACCATTAAAATACCCTGAAACCCTCCCTTTTCACCACCTTATTGCATATATTATTAAGGGGAGGCTTTTCTAAAAGTCATGAGGACCATTAAAGTTAAGTAGGTTCCCTACTAGCAGTTTGCTTTTGCCACACAGGGGATGATGCCAAATATCCATTCACCTCTTAACATAGCAGCTATATTTTCAGGTTCAGTGTCCTTCTTTATAGTGCGTTTTTTCTTCCCTGTCAAAAGAATATATATGTCATTAATCTTGAAAAAATAGGAAAGAAGTTTAATATAAAAGAAAACATGAGCCCAGCTAGTGTGGGTCAGTGGTTCATCACTGACCTATGAACCAGGAGGTCATGGTTCAATTCCCATTCAGGTCATATGCCCAGATTGTGGGCTCAGTACCCAATGTGGGGCGTGCAGGAAGCAGAAGATCGATGATTCTCTCTCATCATTGATGTTTCTATCTCTCTCTCTCTTCCTCCCTGAAGTCAATGTATATATATAAAAGCCTAAGCGACTGTTACAAACACACAATAGTTGTGATGTGCCCTGACCACCAGGGGGAGACACTCAATGCAGGAGTGCACTCCCACAGCCAACCTCGCATGGTCAGCCAACCTCCCATAGTCCCTCCTCCCAGCTGACTGGCCTCCATCGGCCCCAATAGAAATTGGGCAAGATGGCCCCAATAACCCTGACTGCCAGCCAGGCTGAGAAACCACACCTGTACACGAACTTGTGTACTGGGCCTCTAGTAATATATAACCCTATATTATAAAAGAGTAATATGCAAATTGACCACACCTCTGCTACACCCACAAGCCATACTCACCAGCTAATCAGGAGCAATATGCAAATAAACCCAACCAAGATGGCTGCCAGCCACTGAGAGAAGGAGGGAGGTTTAGGTTTCCCCTGCAATGGAGGAAGCCAAGCTTTCTGCCTGCCCTTGCTGGCCTTGGCCATGGTCAGAGTTGGGCCATCGGAGCAGAGTGATCTGAGCCAGCTGGGATCCCCTGCAGGTGATTGGAGCCAGCTGAGGGTCCCTGCCCAGAGTCCAAACTTTGGTCAGAGGTTTGCTGTCTTGGCTATGTGTGGAGCCAGGCAATTGAGCCAGATGGGAGTCCCTTCAGGTTATTGGAGCCAGCAGGGGATCCCTGCCCAGGTCCTGGGCCTCAAACAGAGGCTTTCATCCTTGGCCTGGGGCGGAGCCTGGCGATCAAGCCAGCTGGGCATCCCTGCGGGTGATTGGAGCCAGCTGGGGTCCATGCTCAGGGCCCGAGCCTCAGCCAAAGGCTTTCAGCCTTGGCCAGGGGTGAAGCCTGGTGATTGAGCCAGTTAGGGGGCCCTGCGAAGGACTGGAGGCTTTAGGACTTGGCAGGGACAGAGCTGGAGATTGAAGGAGATGGGTGTGAACTACAGATGAAACACATTTTCTGACCGCTCATTGGCTAAGCTCCCTGTATGCCACTGATAATATTCTTAGTAACTTGGGTATAAGAATCTAAAAAGGTGATCTAGGGTTTTTCCACCACACTTCTGGGGTGAAAAACAAAGGTCTGCTGCTGGAGAGCTAAAAAATGTCATAACCTGCCCTAGGCGGTTTGGCTCAGTGGATAATGCCTAGGTTTGCCAACCGCAGGGTCCAGGTTAGATTCTGATCAAGGGCATGTACCTAAGTTGCAGGCTCCTCCCTGGCTGGAGACCAGGTCAGGGCTCATGCAGGAGGCAATAAATCAAAGTATTCATCTCACTTTGATGTTTCTCTCTGTCTTTCCCTTTCTCTTCCACATTCTCTAAAAATCAATGGAAACATATCCTCAGGTGAGGATAAAAAAAAAAAAAGAAAAAGAAAAGAAAAGGTGAAGGGACTAGAGTCCATGTTGATGAAAACAACTTGGTGGCTGCGGTGACTGGCAGTGGCTCCAGCGGTGGGGTGATGGGGCTGGTGCCTTTCCCTGATCAGCCCGGTTGCCTCCCACAAAGGGAAGCCGACCTAAGCCATCAGTAGATATCCCCTGAGGGCTCCCAGTATGTGAGAGGGGGCAGGCCCCTCAGTGCACAAATTTTGTGCACCAGCCCCTAATATATATATATATATATATATATATATATATATATATATATATATATATATATAATTTTTAATATATATAATTTTTAATATATATAATTTTTAATGTATATAATTATATATATATTTATAATATGCAAATTGACCAAATGACTGAATAAAAGAACAACCATCTGGACGACCTTCCAGAAGACCATGCTATGACAAACACTGGTGTCAGGCCAGCCAAGGCACGTGTGCTGTGATTGGTCCAGGGGCCATGCCATCATCCCACAATTGCCCTGCAGAGGGGGCTCTCCTTCTGTGAGGTGATTGATGGGGGCTCCGTGATCGATCATCCTAAAGGAGGCCCAAGCTGCTGGTGGGTGGGTAGATCAATGGGGGTGGGGGCTCTGTGATCACCCCAAAGTAGGAGGCCCAAGCCACCTTCTTTGTGGCAATTAATCGTGGAGCCTGGCCAGGTAGGCAGGACCTTCCTCTTTAAAAGCTGTTGACTTTGGAGCTCCATGATTGAATACCCTGCAGAGGGAGGCTCAGGCCACCTGGCCAGCAGTCACAGAGGGAGGGACAGGCCACCTGGCTGATGATGCTGCAGCAGTTGGGCAGGACCTCCCTCTGCAGGGTGATTGATCTGGGGGCCTCATGATCGATCACCCCAAGGAGGGAGCCCAAGCCAGCCAAGTGATTGCATCCCACACCTGTCACCTGCAGAGGGAGAGTGTGTAGGGCCACACAGATGGCAAGCAGTGGCAGCAGCAGGAGCAGGGCCAGCTGCCAGTAACTGGGGGAAGGAAAGCCCTGATAGATCCTGATCGCTGGCCAGGCCTAGGGACCCTATCCAAGGGATCCCAATTTGTGAGAGGGCACAGGCTGGGCTGAGGGACAACCCCATCCTTTTGTGCATGAGTTTCTTTCTTTCTTTCTTTCTTTCTTTCTTTCTTTCTTTCTTTCTTTCTTTCTTTCTTTCTTTCTTTCTTTCTTTCTTTCTTTTTTAAAAAAATATACATTTTATTGAGTTTTTAAAATATATTTTATTGATTTTTTACAGAGAGGAAGAGAGAGGGATAGAGAGTTAGAAACATCGATGAGAGAGAATCATCGACCAGCTGCCTCTTGCACACCCTCTACTGGGGGATGTGCCTGCAACCAAGGTACATGCCCTTGACCGGAATCGAACCTGGGACCTTTCAGTCTGCAGACAGACGCTCTATCCACTGAGCCAAACCAGTTTTGGCATGTGCATGAGTTTCATGCACTGAATATATATATATATATATATATATATATATATATATATATATATACACACACACACACACACACACACACATATATATATATGTGTGTGTGTGTGTGTGTGTGTGTGTGTGTGTACCCTGTTTCCCCGAAAATAAGACAGTGTCTTATATTAATTTCCCCCTCCAAAGATGAGCTAGATCTTATTTTCAGAGGATGTCTTATTTTCGGGGAAACACGGTATATACATGTATGTAATATGCTAATGAGTCTGGACAGCTGAACAACCTTTTTGACATTCTTCTGGACAAAGCTGTGGTGGTGGGGGCTGAAGCAGAGGCAGTTAGGGGCAATCAGGCAGGCAGGCAGGCAGAGTGGTTAGGGGTGATCAGGCAGGCAGGCAGGAGAGTAGTTAGGAGCCAGTGGTCCCAGATTATGAGAGGGATGTTCCTGGCATTGGGCCTAAACTAGACGTCCCCTGAGGTGCCCTGGATTACAAGAGGTTTCAGGCTGGGCTGAGGGGACCCTCCCCACCACCTTGCACAAATTTTGCACCAGGCCTCTAATATATATATTTCTTTGAAAAATATATACTCTTATTGTGTTTGTCTCTCTTTTTTTTCCTAAATAACATTTTTTTAAAATTGATTTTTTAGAGAGAGAGGAAGGGAGAGGGAGATATAGAAAACATCAATAATGAGAAAGAAGCATCATCAATTGTCTGCTTCCTGCACACTCCCTACTGGGAATCAAGCCCATGACCCAGTTATATGTCTTGACCGAAATAGATCCAGTGGCCTTTTGGTTCCCCATGGATGCTAAACCACTGAGCTATACCCAATCAGGCTAAATAACATTTTATCAGCAATAAAGAACAAAGAGAGAAAATCTACCACTCCAATCCCTCACTTTTATAAATGTGTCTGCCCCAGATTTTCCAAAATGGCAGTGGAGTAAATGGAAGCTACACTGACACTCTCTCAGGACCAAACTGGAAATACAACTAAAATATGGAAGAACCACCCAGAAAAATCAACTGAGGTGACTAACTGGAGAGAACCATGATAACCAAGGATGGAAAGTGAGAATGCATAGAGACTGGTAGGAAATGAAGGGGCTGGCTGGGCTCCCACAGACTGCAGCTAAGGTCCCAGAGGGATACCTTAGTCAGGAGAGGGGGGGAGGTTCTAACTGAGAACTCTGGGTTCTAAATCCCAAGTTGGCTTCCCTACCCACAGAGCACCAAAACTGAGAAAGAAGCTCACATAACTTCTGACTGTGAAAAGCAGCAGGGTTGCTGACTGCCAGGGCGAGATGGCAGACACCCTATTAAAGGGCCAATGCAAATTTTTTTTGTGCATCCACTCACTTTGGGCTCCAACAGAGGAAGGCACAACTTCAAGTGTACCAACATCAGAATTATGGGGGGGGGGGCAGATGAAGAGAGAGAGCAAGATGCTGAAAACCTATTTAAAGAAATAATTTCAGAAAATTTCTCCACCTGGTGAAAGAAATAGACTTACAAGTCCAGGAAGCACACAGAACCCCAAACAGAAGGAATCCAAAGAGGACCACACCAAGACACAGCCTAATCAAAATGCCATGAGCAAAAGACAAAGAGAGAATCTTACAAGCAGCAAGAGCACCCATAGAATTATCAGCTGATTTCTCAACAGAAACTATGCAGGCCAGATGGGAGTGGCAAGAAATATTCAAAGTGATGAATAGCAAGAACCTACAACCAAAATTACTCTACCTAGCAAAGTTATTCAGAATTGAAGGGCAGATAAAGAGCTTCACAGATAAGAAAAAGCTAAAGAACTTCATCACCACCAAACCAGTATTATATGAAATGTTGAAAGGTATTCTTTAAGAAGAGGAAGAAGAAGGAAAAAGTAAAGATAAAAATTTTGATAAACA